CAGATGTACCGAGTCTGGAATCTTTGAGTGGTGAGAAACCTGACTGCATGGCAATTATTAATCCTCTTAACGAGCTGAATGTAAAGTGAAGCCCAGAGGAGCCGGCCGCGGCCTTATCTATGACAAACGGCTGAGCATCCTAATTGCACTGAGAGATCTGACAGGATAAATTTATACCAGAAACGTGACTCATCTGACGTGTAGGCAGGAGTGAGAGGATGAAACAAGTGGGAGTGCCAGCCCTTCTTTAAAAATTCATTTATTTCTGTACAGTATAGATCCAGAAATATAAAGCAGTTCACGGCACATGAATCACAAGTTCACAAGTGGCTGTATTTTAGGGCAATAAGGGTTAACTTTACCAGCAGCTTTCTGCAAATAAAGTATAATGCAATAAAATAGAAATACCCAAGCCAAGGTCACTTTTTTCATGCAATGCTGTTATTCTTTATATTTCTATTGGGCAGAAGTATTCAGAACATCTACCTTAATAAAAGTAATACAACAGAGTGCTAGAATACTATTCATACATGACGTCGAGGGAATTTACAGCCTTGGCAGAGGTATGTGGACTGCTTTTGTTGATTGAAATTATAATTTATTTCTCAAATACAATAAAACAGAAGTCTAAGGCAGTACGCAATTTAAGTACAAACCTGTGTATCATCATTTAATATAATATTTTAATAAGTGGACATCTCCTTTTAGCCACTCGTGGTGAGTGGTTTCATAAGGTCTGTGCATAACATTTCACACTGTGAACAAGAAACATGTGACAGTTTTACAGTGGTTAACACCATATCAGAGTAACAAAATTATCAAGTAAATAAATAGCTACGTATCAACAGTAACATTGTGCCTAGAATCTGCCAGAGCCAGTCACTATCTCTTCTTTTACCACTGGGAATACTTTGGACTTTAATTTCCACACCTGTTCCAAGTGTTCCTTCAACCTCTCCTACGTCATGCTTTGTCTTAGCTTGGATTGCCACATGAATCACAACTGCTGTCTTCTGTTCCCCCTCAACCAAAACTGTGTCTGGTTGGCTGGCCAGCAGCTGTCTGTCTGTCTGGAACATGAAATCCCAAAGGACCTTAGCCCTGTTGTTCTCAGCCACTTTCAAAGGTGTTTCCTACTGGGAATTGGGGACTTCTAATCCATGTGGCGCAGATGTTGCTGTACACTATTCCAGCTGCTCGGCTATGCCTCTCAGTAGGTGCTGTCCCAGCTTGAATCTTACATTCTGCTACTGTGTGTTGGATTGTCTGCCTGTCACTTAGGTCCTCTGAGCCTGGTGTTTCTTACAGCTTGATCTTGTACTGCCCCAGTCAGAGGATCTGTGCTGTCCTTTCGGTCACCTGTTTTCAGCCACTGTGTTTTTCTTATTGTAAGCCACTTTGTTTTCTAAGATATTTCCTTCCCCTCTTGCTCATCACCATCCGTCTTCAGCTGCCTAAGGCGCTCTGGTAGCAGTTCATCTTGGGGGGTCATCTTCCTGATGCATTTGTGAATGCTCCTTGTTTCATCCTGGATCATGGCTGTGATGCTTACTAATCCTTTTTTTTTTTTT